CGATCACTCGAGGTGTGAGGAGCAGTGGAACTGGAGCGAGTTTGCATTGGGTGTAAGGAGGTAGCGGAAGGCTGATCTATTTGTGTTGTGCCTTGAACATTTGCAACATCTTCTTGCGGATCTTGTACAGTGCTGTTGGGCGCGTCCGTGGAAGTATCATTGTCATGATCACTCTCTGGGTGATCAGGATCAAATGTAGATTGTTCGACTGGGGTATATGTAAGGAGCTCTTGTGGTTCATGAGCTTCTAAATTGGGAACTAATGATGAGTTCTCGGGACCACCAATCTGACCATCATCATCGCGCGGAGAAGTAACTCTGCTATCGTTACAGATATTGGTGACCTCTTCGTCATCCACGTCATCGAGAGAATTCATAAGGTCAACTTGGGTACCAATATCGGCTGAAAGCTCATCAATTGCTTGTTGTATCTCAGATGCTAACACGTTATCACATACTGCTAAACGTGTATCTTCAATGGCAGCCTGTCTTTTCCGACCATATGCACCTGGAACAATAACTATACGAGACTCTGGATCATATGCTAGAACAGGGGTAGAATCACTCCATGAACCTCGTTTCTGGTTTTGTAGCTTCACAAATATTTGAACGTAATCACCAACATGCATAGGCGGTTCAGAAATAGATTTAGACGACAGGATAAGATTAAGCTTACGCTTAGCTGACAGTGCCTCTTGAGCCTTTATAATCTCTGGGGGAATATTGCGAGGGAAATCGTGTACGATTGGACGCGTGTATCCCTTTGCGAGTTCATGTGAAGACGCAACATTGTTCCCATAGAGATCGTTCGAAATACGAAACATCTTTGAAATGATTAACCGTGGATCTTCCATTGGAGACGCAGATTGAAGTCGAACGAAAATGTCGCGAAGAACCCGGTGTTTTGACTCGAGCACATTCTTTGAATGTCTTCGAGGCGGAACAGGGCGATAGTTAATGTCATAGAGCGACAGGTAATTTATAAACTCACTGTTGTTGAACTCTTGATCTCCTTGTGCAAATTCTGAAGGCCAAAACTCAGACAGCCATTTGGATTCGTATGCAATGATTGCTTCCTTCATGGAGGTTGAGGGAACGACAAGACCTGTGGAGTAACGGGTTCTGGAATCCATCATGTGGAGAACATCATGCCTGTAGAGGAACAGGTGATCGATACAAACAATGGCATTGAACCGACGAGACATTGAACTCAACGAAACCTTTCGGGAAGGAGAGGGAAGTTGCACTATGGGACAATGTGGACATTTTTCCAGTATATGGGATAGGTACTCAGAGCATTGATCATCCCAGAGCTCATTGCGGTCCAAGAGGAACTTAATATCATTGTATGATGAATGCTACACACATGTTTGTGGACCTTATCTATTAACTTCTTTTTTTCTGGCCACGAAAGCTGTGAAGCATACGCAGGACAGGATAAGGAGACGAGGGCAGACGTAAAGGTTGATTCGCAATTAAAAGAGTTTTGTGCATTTCGCATGAAAGTAGAGACGGGAAGATAGATGTGATCTTCAAAGTTGGTCATGGATAGAGTGTTGGTCTCAGAGTCGGACACATAGAACTCAAGATAATTACCGGTTACATGGTTGATAATACATGAACAAGTAACATTACGACCGATGAGCCATTGCGATGATCCTTCCATAACGAGGTGACGTATCTCGATCGGAGTGCCTTTGTCAGGCAGAGTTGAGAATGTCACAGATCCTAAAAATCTTCTTCTAGGACTAGCGTGCTCGCCAGCACCATACTGCCAGAATGGTCTATCCTTGACGCAGTCTGGAATGTCACTAATAGTCCCATCCCAATCGGAGATTAGTTGTTGATGCAGTGCTTGAAGTTGTACTAATCCAAGACCACTGTAAGGAGCAGCGCCATCCACAAGAGGACCTGAGACTTCAGCTGAAATTGTTGAAGACGAAAGCGAAGCCATGTGAAATTGAAGAGTTCCTTTCTGATCACTTGCAGAACTTAGGGGCGTTTTAGTTTCTGCTTTGTTAGATCTGCGAGAACCAAATCCTTGTTTGGCATCAGCGCTGCGGCATGGTTCTTGATCTGAAGCCCAATGCCCTTTTTTCTTACAAATTCTACAAATATACTTGCTCTTAAGATCTGCTAACTGTTTAGGGTTCAATTTTTGCTTTTGTCTTGGATATCATGGATACCTTGACGAACATCGAGTTGTAACAGCCATACCTTGTGAAGCACGTGAAGTTTGTAAGGGCTTAATTGGTTCATCGCACGCGCGAACGACTGTAGCAATGTCATCAGACTTGATCATTGCCAAAATATCCTTAGCTTCTTTGTCAACTATATCTGTCTGCCGAGGCAGTGCTGGCGAGATAATTGAGGTCCTTTGCGAAGTATCGATCCTAGAGTTAGCAAGTAAAAGGAAAGAAACTAAAGCAGATGGAAGTTCAGAGCCCTTGCAAGACCCATTAAATCTGCTTACTTGTGCATCAAATCTTGTTTCAAAGTTTTTAAATGTCTCGCTATCTCCTTGCTTTGTCTGCATAAGTTCTAGGTAGCGGTGGAACGTATCGGTTACAACAGAGAGAAGATCGCGTTTGTGTATCGCTCTTGCGATTTGAAATGCTCCATCTTCTGACTCAACTTCTTCCTGGGGAACTTTCTTAATCAAGTCAGTAGCGCGGCCATAGATCTGTGACAACAAAACAATACCTTGTAGCTTTTCAGGTATCTTGTTGCTGTTTGAATTGTCCAAATTATCATGAAAGAACTTCCATAACTTGACAGCGGCAAAGTATTCTTCTTGGGGTCCCTTTCCGTCCGTCCATGGGGCATCAAAAATATCCCAATGGAAACGAGGCCGAGATGGCAAGTTTTCTGGGCCCATAACTGAGAAACGTGAGCGTAGAGGACCAAATAAAGGTGCCACGTAGTAACTAGCGCAGCCGGTAGCGGGATCAAACAGACGAAGATCGGGGGACAGTGCGAATCACAGTATCCGTCACCAATCAGCAAGAGAACGTTTACAACTAATTCACTGAGCAAATGTCAAAGGGATGCAAAGCGGAGAGCAAGGAACGAGAACTGAGCGATAAACAGGTTGAAGCGATGGAGGTCCTTGGTAGAAAAAGTGGGAAGTCACACACATAGAAAATGTAGCACACGCAGACAGTGGAAGCTGACGACGCAAATAAATCTCGAGATACGGGAAGTGGTCCGAGGAGGCTTTTTGAGCAAAGGCCATGTACTTGGATACTTCCTTGAACATAGCCTAAGTTTCACTGTGTGTGTGTATGTGTAACATCAACTAAAGGGAAGTGTGCGCGCTCCGGCCTTCTTTTCGAAGTTTTGAAATGGCTTGACAATTTATTCAGCGATCAGTCCACAATTCTATGATGATGCCCAACTTTCACTATCACGCCGAACTATCAAAAACTACTGCCAAGCAGCAACGCGTTCCGCCAAGATGGACGATCATGTGCAGTGTCACTTAGAAACAAAGGATCAATAAAGTTGTCGGAAAAAGAAGAAATCAAAATATTTTTCCGCTCACATATGCATAATAGAAAGAGGAATACTTGGCAGGGTCTTCACAGTCGTTCTAAACATAACGCCAACCACTACACATAAAAATAAAAAATGCTATGCCGCTGAGGTTCACGACAACGTATTTACATGCCCCTGCTCGTGCGTCTTGCTGGCTTTCGAAAGGGCGTTGAAGTCAATGCGGATGCTGTATGTGTAGGAATTGGGAAACATTCTGATTTCCAGAAGGAGGTACAGTATCCCGAACGAAAAACGGTTATCATAGCTATGAATTCTTTTCGAAGGAAGAGGAGGATTCCACTTCCGCATACTGTACCTGTAGATGTTTTTGATGACACCCACGTGCCTACGTACTGTACCCCAATCACTATCTGGGAGCATATGCATGCTTACCGATTTTTAGATTTTAGAAATACTGTTCGATTACTGTACTCATCGCCATTTCTCACCTTCTGGCCCAGAAGGTGAGAACTCCAGAAGTTCTGGAGTCATGTATGTGCGCATGCCAGGATCAAGTCACGAGCCCCGTACAGTATGGTAATTGATTAAGCTCTGTGTGAGTTCCTGTGTAGAAGTAGTCATCGACTGCATATGCCTTAGGCAGTTTAAGTTTGAAAGCATTGTTATCTTCCTTCTGCCACAGGACTTTGTGCATGATAGCCACAGAAGATAGTGTGCCAAAGATTTTATCGGACTTACTCAAACTGCTTCCACTTCACAAAGCGAAAAGGCGAGAAATCCTCCACTCAGAACAAGAAGGTCTTCGGACACCTGTAGATGTTGACAGTACTGTGACGATCGCAAGGGATATCCTCTTTTTGTTGCCATGGCATCTACCAAAAATTCTGCCTTGAAATATTGTCGAAAACGCGGTCATTCACGTCAAAAGCGAAATGAGATTTTCAAAGGTGACAAGTTGAAAGTTTACAAGGCAGGATGGTGAGAGTGATGATGCCTTACAAGTTTTGCACGGTACCAAGGGTATTGCATCTCAGTCAGCTTTAGAAATTCACAAGCGCTTCAAGTGTTGTACCCTTGGGTACATGGCAACAAACTTGAAAGCGAAGTCGTGCGGCCCAGGGTGATGTACACATGTACACGTATATGAAACGTGTAAACGCCCACGACGTCACCTAAAGTCCAGCAAGGACGTCCAAATCTCTCTTCAAGAGCTGATTGTGGTAAAATATTTAAAAAATAAAGCGATCAGGGTAATGAAGAACACACGTGTCCACTGCTAACAGATGGTGTGAGCGCATGACCCTTTTTGCGACAGATTTACAGGTAGCGGCCACTACAGCATCAGGTGTTGTGGGCCGAACTCCGCCACCGCCGACGGAGCTAATTTCTACTCGCTATTGCCTTGTTCAAGTTCCGCAAGTGCATCTTCGGCAACTCGCGGTGTTTTAGCCGTATGTTTTGTTTGAGACCTCGTCCTTCTTGAGTGCTACCCTCTCCTCACTATGCCAGGCGAAGACGTTACTATGACGGAGGCGCTTCCACCAACGGAAGCGAGCGGCTTGTCCGCTCGGCTGCTGCAAGCATTTACGATACTCCAACAGACGACGGAATCGCACATCCCCAACACAATTTCAGCAATGGATGTACTGTCTGCTTTTATCGTTCCGAACTTGAATCCACTTGCCATATATCGTGCAGCTTGCTGTCTTCGGGAATGTGACTTGAGAGAGATTGTGCAGGTAATGGTTTTCTCGGGCCCTACCGCACTTCTTCCAGCTCTTCGATTACTAAACATTATGAGAGGACTCCCTGGAAACTGGGAGCTTGCCATGCAACTACTGGACGAACATGCAGAAATGCAAAATATTGAACGCAATGGGATTCGCGCCATGACTTTACTCGCTTTTCTGGGGGGAAAGAAGGCATGCGATTTGTGTGATTGGTCTATTGTTATCCGCGAGGCGCTTGAAAATGGCCACGAAGAAGCTTCGCTAGCATTGCACATGATCATGGAGAAGAAGTGGACTGGAACGATTGAGACTGTCTATCGAATTGAAAATTGGGAAGGGGAACAGAAGTATTCCGATAGTCCTTCGTTCTGGCGAGAAATGCAGTGGGCTACGTATTCGCGCGAGTTTTGTTGCAATGCATCGTTCTGTGACAGGCCTTTTGTCGCTCAGTCACCACAGGAGTCTTCACAAACGAAACCGAGCTTACGGAGTTATCTTGAACAACCTCCGAGAGAGTTTGGAGCTGTATCTTCGCACTACATCCGTATTGGTGGAGTATTAGTGCGGCGGCGTTCCGGCGAGGTGGGACCTGGTGCAAGCGAAAGGCTCACTGTGAACTCTTCACCTAAACAGAAGCACCTTGAATTAACAAACCATTCCCAGCGCCACGAATTTATTTACACGCCTAGTCTTTTCCCAGTCCTGAAGACACTTGCCGGTGCGCTCAGCTATGGGATACCCATAGTTTTGGAAGGAAGTGCCGGATGCGGAAAGACAAGTGTAATTTCTCTTTTAGGCCGAGAAACGACATACAAGAAACCCGACAATAGCAACAAAGTCCCCTCGGTAACATTCATTCAGATGGACAGTGCACTGAATGAAACTGGCGCAGATTCCTTTGATTCGCTGATAGGTGGCGTCGTACCTCTTCCGGAAGGAAAAGGATTTCAATGGCGGCCCGGACCAATTGGACTTGCTATCGAAAAGGGAGAATGGCTTGTGTTTGAGAATCTCGGGCAACTCTCTGCGCGCTCCTCTTCAGCTGTCCCACTTATAATAACTCTGGCACAACTCCAACCTGGAGATACGTTGAGTGCACCGGGCAGAGGACAACCGCTTCGCGTGAACAAAGGATTTCGGTGCATTGCGACGAGAACAACATCAGACGAAGAAGGGAATGTAAATTGGGAACCGCCAGGAGGATGGGAAATTTGGGACAGAGTGGCTGTACCTTCGCTCTCGCATGATGAAAAGTTGGATTTGCTGAAAGAGAAATTTCCGCTGGTGAAAGACTGTGTTCCTAGAGTTCTGAAGTGTACCAATATTGTATCAGAATGGTTCAGGAAAAACAGGGCCTCATTTAGCCGAGACACGACGTTGCGGGAAGCGGTCCGCATTTGCAACCGCTTGACAGATCTACGACTGGAGCAAGGAGAGCTCATGACAGCGGAAAGTGCTCTCTTAGAGACTATTGACGTGTTGGTATCATGGTGCAGCGAGGGGCAAGAAAAAGACATGCTCTTGAATGCAATTTCTGCTGGTTGGTCCTTGCCGTCTGATGTGGCCAAGGATTTGGTTTCGCAGCACCGGCCATCCCTATCTGTTGAAGACAACCTCTTTCGGGTTGGTAGAAGCTCCTTGTCAGTAAAGGTTGAAAATGATGTGATGTTCCCCAAACGTCTGACCATGACAAGTTACACTTTACGCCTGATGGAGAAAATCGTACGTTGTCTACAAGTAGGAGAACATGTTCTGCTTACCGGTGAGGCCGGCTCGGGGAAAACCGCTCTAATTCAAGAAGTAGCGGCTTTTCTGCGAACAAAACTCGTGGTGGTGAACCTGTCCCGTCAAAGCGAGCTTGGGGATTTGATGGGTGCTTTTCGACCCGTTGAAACAACGGCTGTTATCCCCCTTTTAGCAAAGAAGTTTGCGGAAACGTTTTGCCTTACTATGTCACGGAAAAAGAACGGCCAGTTTTTAGACGCACTTGGCAGAGCCTCGCGGTCGATTGAACATCATGAAAGATCTGTCCGGCTTATGGAAAGAGCAGCGGAGGCCATTCCCAAGTCGGCAAAGAATGCGAATACTTTCTTGGCGGAGAGGTGGCGCACTATTGCAGACGAGCTGAAAGTCATTTCTAGATCCTACATGCCGTTATCAGCCATTGTAGATAGCAGCTGTGAAGGCAACGCCGGCACTTCGCAGAATGAAACCAGTCGACCAAGAAAGAGGAGAAGGGAAGATGGAGCAGCTTCTAAAACGAACCGAAGAGTTCATGGGGAAAATCAAAACGGAAGTGTGAAGAGATCAAAGCGCAGAGTAGACTTTCAGTTTTCCGAAGGGGTGCTTGCACAAGCAATGCGAAGCGGGGCATGGATATTGCTAGACGAGATTAATCTAGCACCGACAGAGTTGTTAGAACGGCTGGTGAGCGTCTTGGACTGCGGCGAGATTTTGCTTCCGGATGCCGTGGGCTCCATGTTGGCGAGATCTGAAGGCTTTCGATTGTTTGCAGCAATGAATCCACCGACAGATGTTGGCAAGCGCCCATTACCCAATGTTTTACGGGCACGCTTCTCTGAGTTTCACTGCGGAGATATGTTGGACAAGGACGATGTTATTTTGTTGGCACTTCATCGCTTTTACGGTCTGAGAGCGCCTCTAGGCAACCGGACAAGTCAGCTGTCACCAGAAAGGCGTGTTGCAGAGGACATAGCTTCGTTTTATCTCCACTGCAGCTCTTTGGGAAGAGATGGACGTCTTGAAGATGTATCAGGCAGGCCAGTGCGGTTTAGTCTGCGAACATTATCGAGAATGCTTGATTTTGCTTCTGGCCTGAGGAGATTTATGAGAAGTGGTGAAGTGGGTGTCCGTCGGTCTCTATTTGAAGGTGCTATTTTGTCTTTTGCAACGCCATTGCCCGCCACATCTCGTGCTCGGGTGTGCGAAGTGGCGCAGACTTGCCTACTGAAGGTTGTTTCCAGCAGATATAGATTAGAACCTTTGTCTGGCGTAGTGACGCTACCAACTAACATGACCGCACACGTAAGATTTGTTGAGGGAGTGCCGCTTGAAGTGAGCGCATCAGGAGACCAGCATTCATCCGACCTGGAAAAAAGTTTTATCATCTCTCCAACTGTGCGGGAAACTCTCAGGGATGTATGCCGTGCACTAGCGCTTGGGACCCGCCGTCTCCCTGTAGTGCTACAAGGACCGACGGCTGCCGGGAAGACATCCTTGGTGACGTATCTTGCTTCAATGACGGGGAACAGCCTTATCCGAATTAATAATCACGAACATACAGACTTATCTGATTACGTAGGAGGCTATGTGGCCACCCCGAATGGTGCATTAGTATTTCACGAGGGGCCCTTGGTTCAGGCTGCCCGAGCAGGAAGTTGGGTGCTACTTGACGAGTTGAACTTGGCCCCACCCGAAATTCTGGAGTCCCTCAATCGATTGCTCGACGACAATAGAGAGATTCTTATACCTGAAACTGGAGAAGTGGTCAAGGCGAACGCTGGATTTACGGTATTTGCAACACAGAACCCACCCGGACTATATGGCGGCCGAAAAGAGTTGTCCAGAGCTTTTCGAAGCCGGTTCATTGAAATCCAGGTTCCAGACCTGACAGATGAAGACCTCTTAACAATTCTGCAACAACGATGCAGGATACCACCGAGCTTTGCAAAGAAAATGATCGCTGTTATGAGGGAGCTACAGTTACGGAGAAGAACCACGAGTATTTTTTCGGGGAGGGATGGGTTTGTTACCGCACGGGATTTGTTCCGATGGGCATCTCGAGGGTCCCGATCCAAGGAAGAGCTTGCAGTCCACGGGTTCTTTTTGCTTGCAGAGAGATCAAGGCGTACTCACGAGCGCGAAATTGTCAGAGACATCCTTCTCAAAGTTATCGGGGTAGACCCTGGGGTTTTAGTCCATGATGCACTGTACTCATTCCATGATTTGAAGACGGGGAGATCTCCATCCCAAGAATGCCTTGATTTTAGTTTACAAAGGTTGTCTTTGGACCAAAAAGACATTTGGCGCGCAATGGAGGAAGAAGGCATGGTGGCAACATCTCATACATGTCGGATGCTAACTTTGATGATTCACAGCGTGGCGAACAGCGAGCCTGTCCTACTCGTTGGAAGTACCGGCGGCGGGAAGACCTCGTGCTGTGCTGTGATATCTCGCGCACTTGGGCTGCGGTTTGAGACAGTGAATTGTCACCAACACACAGAGGCATCTGACATTATTGGCAGCTATCGCCCGTCGAGGTCCCTCGATTCGGATGGGCCCCTGTTTGAATGGGTTGATGGGCCCCTCGTCCGAGCCATGAGGCAGGGTTCCATTATGCTCATCGATGAGATTAATATGGCTGAAGATGCAGTCGTAGAGAGACTAAATTCGGTGATGGAATTGGAAAGAAAGCTTCTCCTATCTGAAAAAGGAGCAGTTTCGCCTGACAAGCAGAATAAGGACGCTAGTTTTGTCGCTGAGGAAATAACGGCAAGCTCTATGTTTCGAATTTTAGCAACTATGAATCCAGGGGGTGACTACGGGAAGAAAGAGCTCTCTCCAGCGTTGAGAAATCGGTTGACAGAGATTTGGGTTCCAGCACCTGCCACTATCGATGATTTTTCTCCCATTGTGCTAGCAGTCCTCTCTGCCAGTGAGGCCTTCCTCCAGAATGAACGCATGCAGCTCTGTCGAAAAGCTCTCTGTGATTTCCTTAGATGGCTTCTTGCAGAGTATTCGGATTTTGTAACCCGGGAATCACAGAAGTTTACCTCTCATCGCGGAATAGGGCAGCAAGTAATGCTTTCTGTTCGTGACATTTCCACCTGGTGCCAGTTCATAGCGGAAGCTTTTCAAACTATTGGTCTAGATCCCCTTTTGGGGTTAGTGCACGGCGCACGATTGGTATTTCTTGATGGCTTAGCTGTGGGCTCTACTGGGTCAGAAGACTCAAGCGTCGAGGTCGTGGTTTGGAACAAGCTGACATCTTTACTGCCACCAGATCTCCGAGCAACAGCAGATGCGGCCAAGTTTGGAGAGGGTGTTAGACGAGGCTTCTTAGAACAGAAAGAACATGCGACTCAATGGAAAGATGAGCTCAGTTTGTTTACAATTCCACGGAATGAAACTGCAGTAATATCGCAACAAACTCCTGAAGCCCTGGGTTACTCGTTTGACGCGCCATGCACAGCTCGTAACACTGCTCGAATTGCCCGAGCAATGGCTGTTAGCAAACGACCCATACTATTGGAAGGTCCGCCTGGCTGCGGAAAGAGCTCGTTGGTGGCAGCCCTAGCAAGAGCTTCAGGATTCTCCTTTATCAGAGTCAATTTATCGGATGCAACTGAAATGTCCGACCTCATCGGGAGTGACTCTCCGGGGGATGTTCCTGGGGTATTCACATTCCGTGCTGGTCCATTACTAAGAGCAGTCCAGGAAGGATCATGGGTGCTCCTGGATGAGCTTAATTTAGCGTCACAGAGCGTCCTGGAGGGCCTTAATTCCGTTTTGGACCATAGGAGGTCGCTCTTCATTCCGGAACTGAGCCGGGAGGTTGCGTCGCATCCCTCGTTTCGAGTATTCGGGGCTCAGAATCCGGCCTGCGAGGGTGGAGGCCGCCGAGGTCTTCCGAAGAGCTTTCTAAATCGATTTGCACGAGTTCACATGGAGGCCCCCACGAAGCATGACATCGTCTCCATACTGTCCGCGGTTCACCCGTTAATTGGTTTCGAAACGACCTCAAGAATCGTGAAGACATTGCTGGATGTCCGTCAAACTTTGGAAAGCGGCGGACACTCCACTGATATCTCGTCGTTTGGCCTAAGAGATGCGTTGCGATGGTGTGACTTGTTTTTTACACTTCGAGGAAACTTTCGCACGGAGTTTGAGAATGCTGACATGGGCTCATCTAGAAGATATTGCCTTGGAGTTTCTTTCCATGTAGTCGTAGTACAAGGTCTCCAGCGAGGCCAAGCTCGAGAATTGGCCGAGCATGCGTATCGGAGGACATTTGGCTTCGAATGGGATATTTATCCGGGGTTGCCGACATTGGTCTCTGCCGATCAGAAGACGTTGAGATTAGGTCAATCAATGGTGCGAAGGAGCGAAACATTTTCTTTCACGCACGTAGAGCCATGCGGTTTGCCCATACGGGCCGGGGACCTCGGAGAACTGCAGGCACTTTCCTTATGTGTAAATGCCGGCTGGCCTGCTGTGCTATCTTGCGAGGGAAGCACTACCAGCTCTGCAGACGGGATTCGCCTTGTTCAGACCCTTGCTTCTTTATACGGCAAGACGGTGAAAGTCGTGCATGGTGCTTCGCTTTCCGATTGTGATGAGTTCATGGGAGGCTATTGCCAGAAAGATGCTGTTGACAGGATGCAGAGAATGATGGTGCATGTCGATGACATTTTCTTCCGGATTCTCTACCAAGTGATTGGGAAAAGGCCGAGGCAATCTAAGCACACTTCATTTGCTGCCGTCACAGCGATTCGAACTCATGGGAGAAGGTTAAAACGCATTCTACAAAAAGCTTTAGAGGTGACTCACTACGACACCATCCAAAGCATTTCTGAATTCCAAGATGTGTCTAACGCGCTGATGAATGCGATTAAAAGTATCCCCGCTCGAGGCAAGAGCATTGACAACCAAGTGCAAGTAATGCACAACATTCTTCTCGAGCTCGGAACGTTTCAACGGTCGACTGAAGAAGACGGTCTAGTGTCCTTTGAATGGAGGAAGAGTGAATTTGTGGATGCTATTGAAGAAGGTGAATGGATTTTGATTCGTGACGCCGATGCCTGTATCCCTGCAATTCTGGATCGGCTCAACCCTGTTTTGGAGCGACGACCGGTTTCCGTTGTCAACTCAAGTGATACGAAGGAAGCTTTTGATACTCCTGCGATTCTCCTAGCGGAAGCCCCGGCAAACGAAGATGGATCATCAGTCCTTCTCGTACCTCATCCAGAATGTCGCATATTCTTTGTTCCGGCATCACAAGGGACGACTGTTGGAAGCAGGGGTCTTTCTCGTGCTCTGCTAGATCGCTCGCTGAAGATCAGTTTAAATAGTGCAGATGTGCTTCCGGAAGTTGCTGAGGGCAGTCCGTTTTATTTTCGACAGAGTTGTGACAGCACTCCTTGTCACATCGACAAAGTGTCACCTTCTTATATCAATTCACCACTGAAGCGTTTTCGAAGTGCAGTCAGAGGCACTGCTGATGCGGAAATCAGTTCGCATGGAGGGAATCCAGGAGACCGCCTATGCAATGGCAAGCAGATTGAGCGCTTGGCCATGGTGCCCGAGACGCATGTTGCGAACTTGTCCTTAGATCCAATTCATGCGCAGATTCAACGAGAACTGTTCGTATTGCGCGAATTGGAGAATTTGGCACATCCTGAATTGGAGGCAGTATGCGACCCCCTGATGCTAATTCGAGGGTGTTCATCGTACCGATTGTCTTCTCCCTTAGGGATTACAGTTGATATTCCTGACTCATCCCTGCGGTCATGGCTCCTTCTTCTAGCCGCCCAAGGCTTCATCTTGGCATCTCAATCACAGCATGACCTACGAGCTCGGTATCACGTCCTGAGATGGAGTGCAGATCATTCGACCATTCCGAGCTTGCGGAAGAGCTACGATGAAGTTGCATCGAGCGCCGAACACTTCTGCTCCGCGAATGACTATGGACGGCTGGGTGAAAGCGAAGAAACAAGAAATGAACGAAGGCCGCCAATTGACCCTCTATATGCTTTTGATATGCCATCTACATTTCTATCAACAGAAAACCGCATCTCAGGAGCTTCAACCATTTTTGCTAGGGCTGTGAGATTCAGAACTGCGATAATTGCCATACATGCTTTTCACAAGTCATGGAATTTGGCATGCAACAACTCTGGCCAAGAGTCGTCTGGTACCATTTTCGCCAGAGCAAAGTTGTCGTTTAGTGTCAATGCCACACTTTCGTCTCAAGAGGCAGTGACTTGTACCATTGACACAATATGTTATGAAATGCTTTCTATTATTGCAAGGGTCCCAGCTAAACTGCACGACTTTCTGGCCGGCACGAAGGAATGGTCAATCCCTGAGGAAGGAAGACTGGGCGCGCTATTTGTTTCCGCTCGAGAGCTTTGTGATCAGATGGCTGAACCCGACAACGACGACATTTCAGAATTACAGGCTTACCTGCTAGACATAATATCGACAGCTAGTTCTATTCACAAAAGTGAACTTGCCAAGAGCTACGGGTTAGAGCCAGTTGCATTGATGAAGAGCTGGAAGGAAGTACGTGCTCTGCAAGTTGATTCTCATCATGGCTTGTTGCTGATGCCACGGACAAAGACTGGCTTACAAGCTGAGGCTGAAATGCTTAAAGTGTTCGCTCGGTACAAACGAGGAGCAATGGACTTCGCAGAGGTGGATGGATTCGTCAAAGGTCTTGTTAGCTTGTCGGCGGAGAATGTTGAAAAAGACGAGAAGGTCATCACAGTTCTTCAGAAGGTGTCTGCAGCTCTGTCCGAAGGAGGCGAGAGCACTACTGATGGCCCTCCCGAATTCCACTACTGGACAGAAGCTTTTTGCCTGAGTGCAACGAGCTTACTGAGGGAGGTAATGACCAAGTTTTACGAGATGGTATCGCGTCCTGCGCCGCTGCACATGTCTACTCCTCTAAAAGTTTCTATCGCAAAAGCCCTTCTCTGCTTCGAAACCACTCCAGGCTATCATCTCGGATCTGCAGTCTCGTTGCAGCGACTGCAATGGCTTTCAGAAAACAGTGCTGACGAAAGTATACTTCTTTCGGCTTGGGCTGATATGGGAGGGTCGGTAATGTCAAGTTTGCTCGCAGAAAGCGCAAGCTTGTTGTCCGTTGGAATGCTTCCTGATCCACAGTCAAGAGAGACGATAGTTCGAGAAAGTGGAATGTGTCGCAAACTGTTCTCTTTCGTGGGTAAAACAGCACAACATCCGTTATGGGGTCTTCTGAAGGCACGAGGGAAGGCGGTTCAAGCTTTCAATTGCATTACGACAGGTTCTCATGAGATGACCGCAAAAAAGGAACATACTTGTAGCCTTTTGCTTTCTTCGCTCTTTTCTTCAATGAAATATTGTGGGCTGATTCCAGCCGAAGACATTGATTTACTCGGTTCTGCCGTGACCACGGACGCCCTTGGGGTCCTTTTGAAGAAGGCACGAGACCACATGGATAATTGTTCGCGCCCTTCGAGGTCTTGGGAATTGTGGAGTCTGCACGTTGAGGCTCTTGTACATGTAAGGTCCATTTTGACTTGTAAGAACTTTGTATTTGGCGGCGATAGTCAGGAAGAATCGAAACACATATGCTCGGAGCTCTCGCAAAAAGGCACTGCGTGGACGTCAATTGGCTTGCTTCGAATGCGGTCCTTCAGATTGCGCACAGAATGCAGGAATAGGATCGATCCTTCACAATTGGCCCGTGCATCTGTGGAGCTCAATCTAAGACGGAGTATGCGTGCACGAATAGGTGTCTACGCATCTTCTCTTCTGAGGAGACATTGCCTTGGTGGAGACTCACCCTCAAAGTCAATCCCAATTCGGCGCTTAGAAATTCAGTACGAAGAAGCAAGGAAGACATGCGCAGAGAGCGAAAAGCGATTCGTCTTCAGACCAGAAGATCGAACATCGTTTTCTGCCTTCCTGGCAGCTCTGGATACTGTGAATGCAGTAATTACGGACAAACTCATCCAAAGTGGTCTCAGAGACAAATTGGTCTCGGCACAAATCAGTGAGGCCGATCTTCGTTCCGTTGAAGAAGCCTTGGAAATATATCAGTCTTGCGCTACAACTGCTGAGAATCTGGGAATCACTGGAACGCTGTCGCACTTTCGGGACCTTACCAGTGAACTAGTTTTGGGATTGAGGGAAGTCCAGTATGGCTTGATTTGTGCCGCTAGAAGTCGAAAGCTGCAGACCATGATTAGAAACGAAGTGGTGTGGAAGAAAATTCAAACGTTTTATGATGTATCAACGTTTCCGAGGTCGGCATTCCACACGGCGATGAGTGTTACAAAAGCTCTTCAATATTACAAACACGCAGGAGTTTCTCTCCCCGCTTTGACCACGTGCGCTGAGTACTTGATCGATGGCGAAATTCGAGGTAATTTCCAAACTAATCATGACATCTCCGATGCGATGAGCTACATGGTGGGGATTTGGAAGACATCAAGTGTTATGGAGGAGAAGGAGAAGGCCGCAAAAAACTCACTCCATGTTCTACGAGAAGTCGGGAGCCGTTTTGAGGTAAGTGGGTCCGAATTTGTCGACGCTCTTGATTTTGACGAGGATCAGGATTTCGTCGACACATTCAATCCTCTCAATGAAGAAGAGGAAGTTGAACTTCTCGGGTTAACTGAACCAGTTGCACTGGCGAGCGACAAGGTGCAGTTCATTGACAAAGCGCGATCAACTTCAAAAGGAAGGCTGAACTCTGAAAAGTTTTGGAGAATGCACTTAAAAGTATTTCCTGGAATGGAGAATCGCCCTCAGGATCTCGATGATCTACGCTCGCGTCGCGTAGTTTTGCAGTCACTTGTGAAGCATCTACACTACCTGTGTGATGACATTCATCTATTTGTAGAGCACATTCCAACCCAATGGCAGATGTTTGCGGCTTTGGAAGCAGTGCAATTGCTGGACGAATCAACGAGTACTGATCCGGTTAAAGCAATTTCAGAAGGGATGGGGACGTCAGATTTCTACCGGGATGCAAATCTCTCCGAGCTGACATACGGTTTGAAAGCCCTCCAGGGTCTGCGAAATGGAGTCTCTAGAACTCAAAACAAATTTTTCGGTGAGAGTGGCGGTCACCCCGTATTGGAAGAAATTTCTGCGGCTATTGAAAGAGTCACCAACACGTGCCACGTTCTGACACCGTTGTCCAAAATGGTGGTCGGTGTAGAAGGTGTTCTACGGAAGGCAGATGAATGGCAGAGGCTATTTGCGACAGCAACTACAACATTGAAGGATGAAGTACGCGCTTTGTCTCACGTTGCAGTGAAATGGAGGCGACGTGAAAGAGCATCTTGGAAACTACTGATGCAAAACAGAGTTAGAGCGATGGAAAGTCGTGCAAGTATTTGGTTCCTTTATCTCTACGATGCTCTTATCCAGGAGGCATCATTAATTGATCAGTCCCTGAAAGACGAAGCATGCCAAAATATCATTACTACAGTGGATCAATTCATGAGATCTGCTCCGAGTGGAGAATTTGCGTGTCGTCTCGAAATGTTAATTTCCCTTGCGGCGCACATCCTGTCAGTTGGGAGTAAGGGCAACAAACTGCTACATACTATTGGACTTTGCATCCGCGGTATTGGTCGCTTCTATTATTTGAATGCACCAGCAATTTCTGAGGAGCTCTCAAAAGAAAAGAAGCTCGTGGAGGCCAAGCTGGCAGAGTTTTCCAAGTTAACGTCATGGGAGCCTGGCCTCGGGCTGGGTGCTTCTCAGAAGATGGCCCGAGTACCAGAAAAACAGTTGGAGTACTATCGGCTGAAAGAAGATGCTCAGCGAACAAAACGTAAATTGCACAAGCTCTGCCTGGAAATGGATTCTGTTCTTCGAGTTCCTGTGTACAAGTATTTAACACAAGAAGTTACGAAACTCGGCTTCGGGACTTTGCTAAAGGAAGAGGCTGTCTGTGGTGGCGCAAATCCAAAGAAAGGGATAGACCACGGCAAGAGCACTGAACAAAGAATATTGACTTCAGTAGCTGGGTTGGTTCAAGATATGCTCGTTTCCAGAGAGACCAGAGATAATGTATTTCGTGGCGATGCACTCTCTGACGTTTGGTTGTCAGATGGAAATCCATTACTTTCAAAGCTGCCACTCTTTGAAACGCGATTAAATCAGTTTGGAATGATCATGGAAAAGTCGCAGTGCTCCGACTGTGACTCTGGAATGGAGTTCTGTAGAGATGCGCGCTCGACCATTCGATCTCGTGCACTCCAGCTTAGACGTTCGAAGAATCCAAGCATCCAGCTAAAGAAACGAGCACTTGTAGATCTTTTACAAGCACTAAGAAATGTGGGACTATCTCCATTTGAAAACAGGAAGTCGGAGTCAACCGTCAAATCCTTTCAGTGGCTTTCTTCGCCTGACCCAAGCGAGAGTCCCAGTTTCAACAAGATCTCGAATGATCTATTTTACGATGGTGCTCAACAGCTACGCAGATTGAGAGACGTATCTGATTCACGCACAAGAAACACAGACATCACCTCAGATGAAGCGCAAAAGTCCCAAGCAATGTGTACTCATCTCTTCGACATGGCCTGCGCACAGCGAGAAAGCCTCAACAGCTTGACTCAGGATGTGGACCGTCTTGCAACGATGTCATCGCATCTGCAAGAGATCAGGAAAGATCTTTTTGACAGAGTAGGTCGTGTGTGGAACAGCGCGGCACGGTCGCACCTCCTGCGAACGATCAACAAACTAATGAAAATTCAAATTGACCTGAAATTGGCACATTCATCAGTAACCTGTGCGCTAAGCGCATCCCCAAAGAGTGACAGTCTCAGACAAGAGCAAGGTCCATTATTTGGTGACGGTCAATTTTCAGATACATCAGATTCATTGCGACAAGTTTCAACTATTCTTGAAAATGGGATCCAAATACTTGATCTTGTGCTTCAAGCGGACGACGTTGCCAAGCTTGAGCGAGGCTTCAAGAAGTGTTCCAAACCACCTACATATGCTTCATGCTATGAGAGATTAGTTGGAAATATCACTGACTCAAAAGTGAGATTGGACGAGGAGCTGTTGCGAGCGCGAGCATTGTCTGAGCAGAACTTTGCTGTGCAAACTCTCATGCCTGTGACTACATTTTTGCATGTAGCCCTTGAAGAACTCGGAAAGAAGATTGAACTTCAACCCGGGCAGCCAACTATGAATCCTGTAGATTTGAAGAACGGAATAGAAAAGCTCAGTGTATCTGCCATCGAAAAGGTACTGGTCGGAGCGCAAAATACTCTCGCATGGGGCAAGGTGTCTATCAAGAACGAAGCCGAAAGCAAAATCGTCACGGCATCAAGTTTTGAGAACGGAAAACTAGCGGGGGGTGCCAGGCAAGGCACTCTGCGGTGCGCTCACGCAGAAATCTTGTCTCATCGCCAATCATCTAAAATTCCGGACCTGATGAAAATTCTAGGCGAGCTTCTCGAGCTGCAGGAGCAATTAGAGGTTTGCATGGGATATGATGATGACTTGCATCGTGTTGGGAAAAGGTCTGCTATGCTTCAAGGTTGTGTTGGCAAGCTTGTCAGCACCTATATCGGCACAATGGTGTTACCTTCCCTGTCAAAAATGGGTTCCGTGCACTGCCACTCGCTTGCCCTACTAAGGACAGTGTCTTCTGTCTTCATTGGTGTTTGCACAGAAGGCTTTTGTCGGCCGGATGAAACAAATCCGGAAAGCACAGAAGGAGAGGAAATGATGGACAAGACTGGAGCAGGATTTGGTAACATTGAGGATGGTGATATTAGGGAAGCAAAGAATGTATCTGAAGATATCGAGGATGAGGGTCAGCTCATCGGTCTGCAATCCGATCGTCGCGAAGAGGCCGAGAAAGAACCGAACAATACCGACCAAGAACCAGGATTTGAGATGACGAATGACTTCGAGGGTGACTTGGAAGATTTCGAGCCTGAGGAAGATGACAAAACGGATCAGAACGCCCAAGACCCGGAGAAAGACCTTTCCGCAGAAAGTGGGCATGGAGAGGACGTGATCGATGAGAGGCTTTGGGAACAAGGAGATGATCCGTTAGGGCCGAGCAACGGTGAATCGAGCCAGGCAGATGCTAACAAAGAGAACCAGCAGACAGAACTGAAGGCTAGATCAGGAGATGAGGCCTCGGACAAACAGGCCAGCGCTTCTAAGCCTTCTGACGACGGGGGAACTTCACAAGAGAAAGAAGAAGAGGACAGAAAGGATGGCGAGGAATATCAGGAAGATGGAGACACACCCGACGATGAAGAGGCAGGGAACAAGAATCCGATTCAAGGCACAGGAGAGGACGCTAATGAGGAGAAGACAAACGGTGACAGTGAACAAGAGGGGTCCCAGTCCCGACTCCCTGACCAGCTAAACTTGAAGGGCAATGAAGGAGATGCTGACGGTATGGAAGAAGGAGGTGCTGACAGTATGGAAGAACAAGAATTGGGTTCCGCATCAGGGAATGAGCATGAAGAAGAATTGACAAGCGATCAGGATGAGCAAACGACAGGCGTCGAGGAGGGAATACAAGACCCGCTTACAGATTCATCCCCTTTGAAGGAGCAGCAAAATGAAGAAACAGGGATCCCTGAAGCTGGTGCACAGTCCGTAGAAGGAAGTGACTGCGAAATGGACAATTTGCCACTCGATGGAAGAGACGCAGAACTTGACAATGGTATGGAGAAGGGACCGGATATGGAGAGTAACACGCCGAATGTAGAGGAGCAACCAGACAAAGAAACTCAAGAAGTAGAACAGAACGGGGCAACAGAAGGAAGCCGAGCCGGTCATGAGGAAAAACCGTCATGTGAGGACGCCCTCTCCCTTCCAGGCAGAAGCATCGGTGGGCTCGAACAGAGCAACAACAATCCTGCTCAGTTTAAGTCCGAAGAAACAGAAAAGTCGCAACAAGTGCCTGCTTCAGGCTCAGGACAACTTGCTCCCACAGACGATGAGTTTATTCACGGTAACTCGCAAGAACATGGAGAGAGGCAACACCCAAGTACCCGGAGCGAGCCAGAGCCTCCAACGATGGGATCAGTCGGGAAGAGTGGGCAGGATCAATCTCAACATGACATGACTGATGATTTGCATGCCTCCAAGGACTCGGAACTGCCTGACTCCAACCCGCTTCGAGTGACTGCCAATGATGATCTCATCAGCAGCTGGAATAAGTATCTCGAAGTTGCGGACAGGAAACGAGAAGAGAAGCTGCAACAAGAAGCAGATACAAACAGACAGGATGGGGCTTTGGAGTATCAGGAGGAAGATGAGAGTGACCCCGATGGATTAGTGGCACTCGGTGCAGCAACAAAGGAGCAACATCAGCCCCTTCCTGATGTCGCTCCAAACGATACCATGGAGGATATCGATGATGTTAAGGATGACAAACCTGGGGAACTGGACAAAAAGTTGCCATCTTCCTCTAATGCAAAGTCAAGACCACCACAAATTTCCATGGCCCCTGCAGAAACAACAAACGCCCGAAATATTCCTCCAAGAAGTCAGCAGACAGACGAAGATGAACACAGTGGATCTCATTGTGATGAACCCACGACTCATCCTGCTCGAATCGCAGCAGAATCATCTACCCCCGACTCTTCCCGATCCAACGGTGCACGAGCACAGTTGAAGGACCGGAAGGAAACGAGAGCGAGAATGGACATTAGCGACAACCATGACGACGAGCAAGACGCGTCTAAACAACACACTGAGTCAAACGTCTTGGAAGAGGCGAACAGCTTGAGGAAAAATGTGGAAGAGCTAAGCTCTGAGGAGGCAACTTCGCTGTGGAGGAAATTAGTCCAATCCACCACTGGCGGAGCAAGCTCTCTTTGTGAGCTTCTCAGATTGGTGCTTGAACCCACCATTGCCTCGAAGCTAGGCGGCGGGTACCGAACTGGAAAGCGCCTGAACATAAGAAAAGTGATTGAGTTCGTTGCTTCTGATTTTCGAAAGGATCGCATTTGGCTGCGTCGCGTAAGACCCGACAAGCGCTCGTACGATGTCCTCTTAGCAATTGATGATTCAGAGTCCATGTCAGAATCACGCGCAGGTCCTATGGCCTTGGAGTCACTGGCTCTCGTCACTTCGGCCCTCGGAAAACTCGAGATAGGACGCCTTGCAGTGGCAAGCTTTGGAGCGGCTGCCCTCATGGTCAAAGACTTCGATGAACCTATTTCGATAAGTGACGTGAGAGGGGGGCAGCTACTCCAGCACTTTTGCTTTTCACAAAGGGAAACGAATATATGCGAATTGCTTCAATTCATGCAAGATACACTGGTGGGTGTGAAGGGGCCGGAAAGTGTTGAGCAAATTAAACTCGTATTCGTTATCTCCGACGGCAGGCTCAGCGCCCGGGAGGACATTAAACGTCGGCTTCGACACTTGCGGGATGCAAACGTACTTGTCGCATTCCTCATAATTGACAAGTCGGGGAAAGATGACACGAGCATATACGACGTCCGAAGGGTGGAGTACGATTCTAGTGGAAAGATTGAAGTAATGCCCTACATGCACGATTTTCCAATTGAGTTTTATGCGGTGGTTCAAGACGTTCAACGACTCCCCACAATTCTCGCCGATGCGCTCAGACAATGGGTGGAAATTACGAGCACTCACCAGTGACAGGAGTGATGCATCTCATTCTTTGACTTCCGCAACCGCAATTTTGCCGCATATCGATACTGTTGCATGGCATCCCTATATTTTCTAGACGAATGATTTTTATATTCATATGTCATACCTTGATATGCAAATTGGTCCGTGTTCGCCCGTTTGAGTTTGATAACCCGTGCCTCTCTTAGCGTCAAAGGGTTCGGTCTTCCTCTTTGGCAACGTCCTCATTGTATACCGCACCCCTACTGTACATACACTAAAAGAAAATGTGTAAAATGAAACAAATGTCAGCATCTCACTGCTCTGGACTCCGCTGAGGTTTAGATATTACCGCAGACTCCGGAAAAGAAGGCAGCGAGCTCCGTAGAGCGCTGTCTGAATGTCTTGTGTCGCATGAATACCTTCGCGTCTGTCTCTCTAGAATGAGTAGCAATGCTGAGTCTCGGCGGAGTCAGAAAATCGGAAAGCTCTCACACAGGCTGTCTCCTCATCTCCCATCAAAACGAGGCCGCAACAAAACAGAAACGAGTCCGCTTTCTACCGGCAAAAGTATTCGAAACGCGAGAGAACAAAATAGCAATGTACGCGGGAATGTTGTTCAAGACATCTGGGTAGCAACTCAAAAAACGATAAGGATGATCAAAGCAGAGGGCTTGAATAAAGAACAAGGAAATATACGTGCAACAGACTGCCCAGGAATTGACAAGGCTCACATTTCAGGCAAAGACTGGTTAACTTCCTCTACATCCAGTGCATCTAGGCGGTCGGGGCAAACTGGGTCAATGGAAAGAAGAAATCACTTTCATTTAGTAATGAAAGAACTGAAGTTTAGATCACGACTTCGGCAAGGAGGGAAGGAACATATAGTCCATTCTAAGGTAGACTTGAACAGCTCTCCCACTGCTATTCAAGGTCTTCCGTCAAGTGGAAGAATTAATGAAGTCCATGGGGATCGCATTCTCCTCGAACCACTCGGCAACTCCGCGCGCAATACTCCGACTCTGGAAGCATCGGGCAGTGCCAAATCCTGGTTGCCCAGAACGCAGATGGTTCAAAAAAGTACAAGTACCCCCGAGGTTGAGGCAGGCATAAATGAAGAAGGGATTTCCTCAAAAAAAAATTGCACTGATCAACCTTGGACAATAACTGGCCTTCCTGGATTGTCATCGATATGTGATGGGTACGAATTTGTCCCATCGTACCACATAACAAGACGCCACGGCAGAATACATGAAAAGAAATGGTCTGAAGGGACTCTAAAGAAAGGGTTCTTGGCTCAATACGATTCTCCCATCAGCTTCAAGTTTCATGATGAACATACCGGCGATCCGCTTGATTCCTCGCTAGATGTTCAAAATCGGTTACTGAAAGAAGTACGAGAGTTGCTTCGGGTGATGGATGAATCCGAGAATAGTCTCATGAACCTCCGGGTCAAGACTGAACGAAATTCGTGCGACCTACGATCCGAGATTCGTCAACTGAATCAATTGATTGTATCCATGACTCAAACACAGGAACTTCACTTTCATAGATTGCTGGACAGTCTTCAAGAAAACTGCCGAACTCTCGCGCAGGTAGAGTCGGGATTTGACTACTTTCTTAGTCTTATGAACCGACAAAAGCGGTATTCCTTCGGCAGCAGGCCAAGTCGATGGGTTCTATTCCTATTGGATCATACCGTGGCTTCGATTCTAACATTGGTTTATGTTTTCAGCAGCATCTATACCCACTTTCGTTCAAAGGAAATGGGCCGAACCCGTCACGTAGGATCGTAGTAGCGAGTGGCAAATGGGAATCTCATTACTTCAAAAGGTTTTCAAGATGACCTTGCAGTAGTGGAAGGCTGTTTCAAAGCTTTGGTATCGTTTGTAGGTTTTTTGACAGGGAGCGCGCAATGGAAGGGTCTGATTGACCGTCTCCCAAGTAGATGAGATGGAGGCATGCAAGACAGGTAAAAACAATCTTTCGCCTTTATAATTGACGCGCACCGATCAACATTGCTTGGGTGTGACAATGGGACGTCTATATCTATATGATAGCGTGTAATAGGGCTGTTGTCCGTGGGGTTGAGATTTGGGGAAAAGCCGAAATGTAACGTCGGACAGTCACTTCTTGAAACTGTCAATGACGCCTCGACCAACAAGGTCAGGAATCTCAGCTGCAAGCCATGGACCGAGCTGTTCGGAAGAGAAGATAAAGGAGATAGAAGATAAAGCGTGTTAGTTAATACTGAGGCGTAGCAAGCCATGGCCGTCAGGGTGGGAAGTTTTCTCCGTTGTGTTCCTGCGACAGAGTACTAATGCATGGAAAAGCGAAAATAAAGAAGCGTACAGATAACGCCAAGGAGTGCGCGATGCCAAAACGTGGAACGTTTTTCGCCCACAACGGTTGGAAATGGATAGTTTGACATATCTTTCCACCACGGTACATTTTCGAGGTAAGGCCCTCTAGTTGCGGGAGTTTCAGCTCTGGAGCTGACGTTGGATAAGTAACGGGAATCTCGAACTCTAGGTCGAATTCATAACGAATTTGTTCGTAATAGTACCAGCATTTTCCGTTCCATCGAGTTCCCGTCTTGTTACACTCGACATGAAACCAGTCCTTGTCTTGTTCTTTGTTCAATTTCACATACTGTTATCCGCGAAAAAAAGAAGGGAGTTAGGTTGAGGGACATGTCAGTAGGTCTTAAGCTCAAGCACTCGCAGTGATGCGTTTGACTGCACTGGCTTGTCAATTTCCATGTCTCATGCCTAGTTAGCCGCTTACTTGTATCAATGCGGTAAGTTCTTCCTTCAATCGCGCAGTCCAAGCTTCCTTGTCGCGTGGTGAAGCTCGAACGGTCAGCAAAGGCAATTTGGATACTGTGCTCTTCGTTCCCTCATCCATGTTATCACAGCGCTGGAAACGAGTACCCACCCGCAAGCCGAGACAACCGTTGAGAACAATATGCGTCAGCAGTGCGGAGGGTGGCGCGATGCAACTAAACGAACCCTTTCTGCCCAATGAGGCCTTGCAGGTTCAATCAAAAAAAACATGGAATTAGTGTGGTGTTCCTATTTGCGGCTCAAGGCACATTTTCTATTGTCAGAGTGGCGGTTCATGGCCGTGACTACGTCTTGTCGAAGCGTATTCGGCCTCCTTGTTTCCCTCGTGCACATACTTTCAATGTTGATCGCTGAGGTTAACAGCCTGAGAACAATCGTGGATGAAATGTAAGGGCCGATGTACAGTACAACTAAACTTCTTGTGCGGGCTAACCATAGCGAACTCAACTAAGAAGGAGGGTATTCTGGTGGACGTAATGAAGAAAACGTAGAAGCATGGAACATCCACGCACCATGCGTGTAGTGCTTGCTCTAGACCGATGGCGCGACCCTTTCTCGGGAATGAAGGTATTTCGTTGAAGAGCCTGAATTTTTTTTTTATGTCCGCGTGCTAATAATTACACGACATGCTGCAAGACTAGCTGACCAAGCGAGGTTGTCCGGTTCTTGTATTTTGATAAACAAGCATGAAGAAAACCGCATTACGTTCCAATATACAGGCCTGGCAATGCTGCCCTTCCGCCTGAGAAGAATGAACGGCTTACTACGGATATACTCAGCGAGCGATGCCGTTGGTTTGTGTTTTAGAAACAAGCGTCTTCGCGTTGTTTCTCACAGCATAAACGTAGAGGGTCTTCCAATCCTTTCCGAAACGTCCTAGGCTAACTTCTCGTTGGACAACTGGAGAGGAAAGAAATAAAAGGGGAGGGGTAGTGTAGATGTGGACTTCTTCTAAATACTGCTGCAATTTACTGTTACAGGTCATGTACAGGTGCAGAGGCTTTCCCTCGGTTCTACATAGACATCGGCGAAACAGAAGCCTATCGGTAGCCGTTGGAATATGCCTGGAAGCGATCATAGCTTGCCGATCTCCACGATAGCCTTGATTCTTCAATTAGTCCAAGAGCAAAATTGATACACTGCTCTTCTGGCATGCCCACGGCAAATCTGCTTCGCAGATGCTCCACGATTGAGTGACCCCCCGTCATGCACGGCATTGTCGTGCCCTCAGTCATAATTTCGACCAATGTTGTGATCTTCTCGTAATGCTTTCGTGCTGCAAGAAGGCCCATCACGAATAATTCTTGAAAGTATCGATATCCTTCCGTCTTGGATGACTCTGCAAGATCTAGGACGTTCTTCTTGGCGCAGATCACCTGCAAATATTCTTCTGTCAGCTTAAACGGCACGTTCTCGAACTTTATCGCGCCTGGGGAATTTGTGAGCATAAATCCGAAATCGATATGAATAATTCGTCCCTTAACATCAATCATGATGTTCCCGTTGTGCCTATCCTTGATCTGCAAAAAGTACGTTACCAAAGAGTAGGCCGCCATCGAACGAATAAATCTTCGCTGTGCGGCACGGAAAGAATCAGTACCGATGGAACCAAAAGCTCTTTCGAAGTAGTCCAGTAACGAAACAAAATTGGGTGTTCTCTTCTTCAGCGAATGCACAGACACGGAATCTGGAATCACTTCGACAAACCCAGCTTCTGATGACACGCTCATTACGGTGAAGGGACGCAAAAAGACATCCACATTCTCTTCTTGGAAAATGCTATAGAACTGGGAAATCAATTGGATGGCGAGTTGCTCTTGTCTCAAATCGTCACCAGCTTTCACAATGAAGGGCATGAGGCGCGTATTCTGAAGATCCTTAAAAGGGGACTTGGACAAAATTCGTTCCTCCTTCCACGACCAAAGCTCCCCATAAACGCCCAAAATAACAGCCTGGCGTGCCTTGTATTCTGCACTATCTGTGCGAGACAAGTCGGCTAAGTCTGACAACTTCTCTGCCTCACTGAAAACATCTGGCTGCCTGCAATATGCATCACCATAAATGCTCTTCCGGACATTCGCTTTTTGTCTTTCTGCCGGTGTCATTTCACTGAGTCGTCGAACATGCAATGAGCGGCGGGCTTCACTCTTAGTTGATGACGGTGTGTTCAACTCAGATACTTGGCTTTCTTGCTCAGTCTGATGAGCGGTTGCAGGGTTTGATTCGCCCATACTAGAATGATGCGGATTCGCATTTGATTCTGAGTATGCTTCCCTTACCTGCTTTGTCGGTTTAACAATACGCTGCTCACAGAATAGTAGCTTGTCCGAACAAACCATGTCTGTTGGGAGAACTTCAATGTTGACTAGGTAAGGCGCGCGTGTTCGAGAAGTTAATATTACGGCCTCTTCCGAGTTGACTCTGAGAATTCGCAACGCTTGAGAACTTGCTCTTGTAAGTGGCAAGTGCACGCTTCTCAGAGCTGCGCTTAGTCCGAGTTTTGCCACTTCCGCGGCACTCGGAACCGGAGAATCGTGTATCAATGGTATTCCAGATTCCCCTTTCATTCTTCGCAGAAGAATATCATTGATATTGTTCAGCCCATTGGAGAGATGGGATTGTCGTTGTTCTTGTGGCAGGTCCTTTGTGGTCATTGACAGACGAACAAATTCGTTCGCTATCGAAATCGAATCGTTAAAATAATCGAAGCGTTCTTGCTTCATAGTTAGTAAAGCAACGGGGTCGAAATCAGCAATAGAATCAATCCCATTTTCTCGCCGCTCGATCTTTTCAGAGCTATGTTCATTGGGAACGTCACTTTCGGTAGTTTGTTCGGCGGCGGCCAACACGATTTCGTCGCCCTCCGCTTCTTCATCTTCCTGAGCAACCGACGCTTTCTTTAACGTTGCAGCGAGCTGCTTGACATCATCGGTGTCTTCGCCGCAATTCTCATCATTGGGGTCATCAGCATCACTGGCTTCATTACGACTAATTTGATCTTGATCAATATCGCCGCATTCGTCTTTTCGTTGGGTACCATTCTTCACAGGCCTGTGCACGTCGGACCCTACTTCACGTTCCTCCTTGTCAACGTGGACCTTTCGCACAGCAGCGGTGAGTTTTAGTCCCTTGACACTCAGCTGCGAAGCGCTTGATGACGGAAAAAGGGTGATACCAGAGACTTCCCTTCTCCTTGGGGAAAAAGGCGACTCAGTAGCAACAAGGGTCGATGAGAGTCGCTTTGCCGCAGCTGCTAACATGGCATGATGGGAGCCGTTTACAGCGGCTGTCTCGCATCGCGTCCGCAAGAGCTTGACGCGTGCCTCCGCAGTCTTATTTCCAGCTCTCGCGGCATCCTCAACAGCCGCTTGAAGAAACCAGAAAACCTGGAGAGCCATGTGCATGGAGTCGGCGCATTTGTCCATGATAAACCTCTCGAGGCCTGGCGAGTCGCGTGCATGATAGACGAGCAAGTTACAGACTTGCGGCATGAATGCTTCGAGGTCTGCATCGGAAAGATGGTACAACTCGTTGCAGAGGTAGTCATGGACGCCGCGCGACTCGCGGTACCGATAGAGGTAAGTGACTGCCATGAAGGCGTCAAAGAAGTCAGAGCGAAAGAGACGGAGAAGCCAGCCCATGGACATAGGTGCTGCTGGCGGTGGCGGGGAGGAGGAAGTGAGCGTTTGCAAAGGAGGCGCGGCGGGAAGCTCAGCGTCAAGATTGCGGACCTTGATCTCGACAGTACCGCTTGCGGAGCGGGAGGCATCGTTACTCGTCATAGGTGAACGGAAGCCGTAAGAGCTCCACATGGCGGGAGTGTGTAGGGTATGCGAGCAAGGAAAGGAAGGGGAGTAGAGAAGAGGAATGAAGGGCGATGGTGGGAAGGTAGAGGGTTTTGGCTAGGCGAGTGGGGGAAGGCGTTAGGAGTGCGACAGTATGAATTTGGGGATGAAACCGGGACAACGTAACAAGGGCGGGTAGGATCGCGTAGCACGAAGGGGACGGGACCGTCTGTGAGGTGGGATTGTGGGCAAGCGATAAGTTGGGAGGAGAAAGAAGTTGGCCCGCGATATCGAGGCGCGGAAGGTGATGCGGGGCTGCAGTTGCCGCCCAAGTGGCGCTGGGCGTGAAGATGGGTGCACACCGGGAAAGTCAAGAGGCAACCTTTACGCAGTCGTTGCGACCGATTTGTTTCTCGCTGTAAAGCGTTGAAGTGCAAAGTCACTGCTCCGCCCTGCCTGAATTTTTGCGAAACATTTATCCTTTTTAACAAAATATTTACCGGCCCACATCACAGCACCAGACTGTCAATCGACTCATACAGCCTATCTCCCACGCCCGCGCCAACGGAGCACTCTGTTCAAGTAGGACCCCTATCCCTTCCCTCGATTACCGCACACCGAGACTTTCAAAACTACGCAAATAGAATCCCAGTCATCAACAATATTGACAGGAGTTTCCATCGTCGACAACATTGATTAAAACGAGCCACAAGTCCAAAACATACGCGACATGAACAAAGCCCAATGTGTGTATTAAAGGGTATCCAAGTTTATAAAGCCGTAACTGCACTTGCGTCCCCACTCCCGCAGAACTTTCCGCTCTACAAATTAGAGTTCACGAATCTGCTGCGAAACGCGAATATTCAGCCCGGCGATGATATCAGTAAACCGCTGCTCGTCCTCTCTCTTTAAGAACTTGAGTAGCCTGCGTCTCGTCGACACCATCATCAATAAACCTCTCGTCGACGAAAAGTCCTTCGGGTTTTTCTTGAGATGATCCGTAAGATAAGCAATTCTCGTCGTTAAAGTTGCGATCTGAAACTCGGGTGACCCAGAATCCGTCTCGTGTCGCTTGAATTTCTGTTGCGCTGCCGATACATTCTGCGCATTTATAAAAGGCTGCGGAGGGGCACATGGCTCATATTCACTGTCTTCATCTTCCTCCGGTTCCATTGTTGCAGTTGCAACGGAACCTATATCAACTGGCGCATCATCGATCCCGATCATGCTTTCAGTGGTCGGGATTTCAGTATTGTTCTCCCCTACTTCTTCGGAAGGGGCGGCAAGCATTCGAGGTGCGAATCGAGTCATTTCTGGTACAATGTACACTCGTGGAGCGGCGGCACTGCATCTTGGTACAGAGAGTCCAGAGAATGTCGTCCGTGAAGTCAAAGGAGTAGCTTGAGGCGTAGCAAAAGCTGGCGAATTCATCTTTGGTCTTCTATCCAACACCGGACAGCGCTCTTCCTTCTTTGTAGAAGGCCGATGAACACTCTGATAACGAAGAGAGCGCTATATCCTTGCAGAGATGTTGTCCAAACTGAATACCGTTACTGCGCAGACGCCGTCGAGGAAGTCGACCTCCTATGTTCATCACTCTCGGCGACTTGACGTGAGCTCCCGAAAATCTGAAATAACCAATTGGATCTATCCACTTGGCCTTCATCTTTGGCCGCATTTCACCCCAGTCTTAAAATTATTGGCTTTCCAACTGCTTTCTGTAAGTCTGCTCACACAGATACTTACGGTATGACGGTATGATTGATAAATATGATTGATAGAAAAGCACATTATTTTAATAGTATAGACAAAAAAATGAGCAATTTTATTAAACGAAGCTCTGTTGGCACTGCCAGGCCCTTCAGAGAGTGGGTGAAGGAAAGAACAAGAGAGTGCAACGTCTTCTCAGTTTCGGTTCTCCCTCTGGTTTATAACTATAACTTAAGATGAACATTGAGATTCTGGGTTCAAATCTGCTTCTCAAGCATTGCAAAATTACCCCGCCCGTGCGAATCCCGTCCGTCCCAATCCCTCAGGGACCATCATCGCCGTTCGAATTAAGCGTTCGGATTCAAAAGAATGATCCGAGTTGAAGGATAAACACATGAAAAGGAAGTTATCAAGTTGCAAACAATCCATGACTAGTATTCATAAGACGTGAACAGGAGCCAGTCACCCAATGCATAGGAAGTCAAAGGCGAAGCAGTCGTCATGCTCGTCGTGCACGCAGTGCTCAATTCTATTTGATACTTTGCTCTTCGGAAACGCAAACGCAATATGCGCTTAATCAAAAACGCAGCTGAAACTGAGAGTGTAGCTGAAGGTCTAGTCAATATTTAGCGAGGATGATCTACAGAAAATTACCAAGCCTTAGCTTGTTCGTCCCCTTCCTCAGTTTCATTCATCAGAAACTCTATCCACTTGTCGCTGACCGTCCCGAGAGGCGGTAGTGTTGCATCGTCGAGCTCTGGTGGTTGCACCAGAGACCCGATACGATCCATCAAAGCTCGACGCTTGAGGCCGACCGCAACGTTGTCTGCGTCTGAGAAAGCTAACATACGAGACATTAACTCCAGTACATCTCTTCTTCGAATCGAGCCTACTCGGAAATAACTTATCAACAGCTGCCTCACAACTCTTCTGTCGACGAGTTGACCTCCGGCATCTGGGTGGTTCAATCGCGACAAACTCTTCTCGAGTTCAAGTTTCAGCTCTACCCGCTCGTCTGCAAGTCGACCAATCGCCCCTCTTAATTCCTTGATTTCTTCATCTCGAATTGTAAGCTTGTCCTGACTCATCGTCGCTTTAGCCTCCTTTTCAAGCGCTTTGGCACATCGCTCTTCGGCATCCTCAACCCTCTTTTGCAATTCAATTGTTCTTTGTTCGACAGCAGAGTCTTCTGCCGCTTCCAACTGCTCAATAGCTATTTGCAAATTTTCCTCCGCTTTCTGATGGGTTTCAGCCAAGAATTCACTCTCTCTTGCGCTATTTTCAGCTACATCACATGCCTCTCTTAGTCTTGCACATTCGTTTTCCAGAGACTCAACCTGCTTTATTGTCTCTCGTAGTGCAGAACTTAAACGGTCCACATCATTCTTTCTTGCTTGAGTTGCTTCTTCTTGGAGAACTTTCAACCTTCGATGTGATTCGTCAAGGTCCTCCTCTAGGTTTGTCACCTGGTCTTGGAGATAAACAACTTTCTCTTCCGCTTCATCAAGCTCGTTAGTACGACCGTTGAACTGTGCAGTAAGCTTACTACAGAGTGCTCGTAGCTCCCCGGCTTCCTTTTCCGACCTCGCTGCCTTCTCAGTTACTCTTCTGAGTTGCTCTTTCGTATCTTCGAGCTCGTCTTCAATATGGACAATGCTCTGTTCAAGCTGGGATTTCGCCTTCTCTTCACCTTCCGCAAACGCAAGAGTAGACTTCTTTTCAAGACGCTCGTTCGTTCCTCTATACACGTCTCGTTCCTGTTCTGCAATTTCAGCTCGATCAACTAATCGAGTGATCTCTGCCTCAGCTGTTGCTAGTCGCTGGGCTATGTCCTCTGCTTGGGTTCGGTTCCGCTCTAGTTCTGCAACAACTGAAGCTGTCGCTCGCAAAGTCAGCATAGCCACGTTGTTCGTTTCCGATGTTTCGTCAGAATCGTTGATGTCATCTCTGTAGATATTGATTTGGTGATTAGTGAGTGCTTTCTGCAGCATAACCCATATGGAGTTAAGGTTCGAGGTGATCTTCGCGATTTCTCCTGTGAGGTGAGCCCGTTCTTCTGCTGACGCATGAGCCTCTCGTTCAATTTCAGTCTCCATCTTCTTTGTGATATCACGCGTCTCAGCATGTAGAGCCAATACGTTGGCTTCCGACTGCTCAAGCCTTTCTTGGAGAGCCTCACACCGGGTATCCAGGGACTGCTTTTCCTCTTGTAGGACCTGAAAGTCTTTTGACTTCTGCTCCGACATAACCTGCGCTTGATGAAGCTCTGCTTCCCTGGCAGTCATCTCAGATTTAGCTGCTTCTGCTACTTCCAGTTTTTGGACAGCCTCTGCGGCCGTCACCTTCAGAGTTGCTAGACTGTTGGCGACCTTGCACGCTTCAGTACAAAGCTTCACAAAGACTTCACCTGTTGACCTAGTTAGTACCGAGACATCCTCCTTCCCATCAGTCGACTTGATGATAGAATCAATAATGGGTAAGAAGGATGCAATACTGGGCACCACGCTCCCGTTTTCCAATTCATGCCTACCAGAGCGAAGGGATGAAATGGCGGATTCCCTCATTCTTCCCTTGGTAACAGATTCCTCCTTCATAATATCTTGAATTTCTTTAAGTTGAGCAACATGCTCCATTCTAGCCTTTTGCTCACCAGCCAGTTCTGCTTTGGCAATTCCAACATCTAAAGCTGCTTTTTCTCTGTTCGTCAACAGTTCAGCCTCAACTGATTTTTGTTTCGTTTCAGCTTCGGCGATGGCATTCTGGTGTTCTTTAACTGTCTGCTGCAGTAATTTCTTGTCTGCCTTCACGGTACCTAGTTGAGACTGTAGCTGATCTCGTTCGCGGGCCGCAATTTCAAGTTGCGCTTGCGTTCGCTCCATATCTGTGGTAATAGTTGAACACCTTTGCTGCAAGTCGAATCGGCTCTCCTTCACTTTACCGAGTTCTTCTCGTGTACTGGCCAAGTCTTGTTGCAGGCTTTCAAGCTGTTTTGAGGTTGCAGCTAAATTTTCTTCCACAACCAGTTTTTGTGCGGCAACCTCGGAGAGTTCTTGAACGCGAGCTAGAGAGGCATCTTTTTCGTCTCGAAGGGAGACTACGGTCTTCTGCAATGTATCGCGACCCTCTGTTGCTGATTGCAACTTGCTGTGCAGCGTAGCAAATTCTGAGCCCGCCGCTCGTAATCTCGCACCAGCCTCATCACGTTGCCGCTGGAAAACTGCTCTCTGAAGGGTGAGCTTTTCAATTTTCGCTCCCGCAGCTGTCACCTTACGCTGCAACAACGCAATCTGAGAGGTTTTCCGCTGACTTTCTTCTGCGAGTGTCTTTTCTTTCTCCGAAATTGTTGAGGATCCCGTCACTAACGAGGTGCGTTCCTGCAGCAATTCGTTCCTCTCTAAAGACAGTGATTCCAGTTGATTAGTCATATCTTTCAACTGATCCCGCAAAGCACCGTACCTTTGCCTGGCTTCATCACGCTCACTCAGTATTGAGGACTTTTCTCTATTCGTATCCATGAGTTCTCTCTGCGTTTGCTCCCCGCTCGCAGCAAGACTTTCTACTTTTCTTTCAAGGTCAAGCTTCTCGTCGTAAAGGTCGTTTCGCTCCTGGATGACATTTTTCGTCCTTTCCTTCATATCCTTCATCTGAGACGAAAAGGCTTCGATCCTGATGAGCTCCTCATCCCGTTCTCGGTGCAAATCCTCAATTGCATCTTCCAGTTCTCGTATTCTTGATTCCCGAGCCGTCAGTGAAAGACATGTGGACTGTTCAACTTCTAGGAGGTCCTTGTGCTCCTGTATGTGAAATTTGCTCGCGGTCATGGCCTTTTCTCGCTCCAGTTTTGCTATTTCATTTTCATTTTCGATGAATCGAATCTGCTGCATGAGCTCCTCCTCTCTTATTCTTGCATCAGATTCCGCCTCTTGCAACCTGTTCTTTAACCCATTCGACTCCTCCAGGAAAGAATTTCTTTCCTCTGAGATACGATCCAGGTCACTTCGAAGAGCTTCTATCTGTTCAGATATCACTGCCTCACGTCTCTCCGCAATACCTTGAGTACTTCGCATTGCCTCAATTACTCCACGCGCTTCACGAATCCCCTCTCCGCCCTGATGTACAGCAGAATCACGTTCCTTCTCAGCCTCGATCTTTTCTTGCGCCAGTTGATCTCTTTGACTGAGAAGTCCATCTAGCTCTGACTGCAACGCTTCAAAGTTTTTGGATTTTCTCTCCAAATCCTTCCTCAGCTCAAGCATTGATCGCTCAAGGTTCCCAATGCTCTGATCACTAGAGATCTGGGACGTTATTGCAGCGTCTCTTTCAATTCGAAGGCTTTCGACTTCGGCGCGCAAACCGACTATGATCGCAACATTCTCGTCTTGCGCATGAACAACAGGCGTCAATGCATCATCACTGTGCAGTAGTGGCTGTGCCAATGGCCTCGCAGGCGCGGGTACCCCGAAAGTACTCGCAATCATGTTTGCTGCACTTTCCTCGATCTGCTCTGCCGACCCAGGCGCACCCGAGGGCAAATTTGCCCCGCTTGCACCAACCGCCCCCGGCACCCCGGAGTTTGCATGTTCAGCATGTAGACGGCTTTCGTCTTTCGTTTCGTTCGTTCGGAATGCAGATGTGGCGCTGCTTGGATTTCCACCTACAGTGCGATCAGAAATAGTAGAGTCTTTGCTTGTTTGCTGACCGACTGCATTCCACTCCTCTGCGTGAAACTGTGCTGATTCTGGAACCGGAAGCGAGACTTGCTCCTCACGATGCAGATTGCTGTCCGTGTTACTCCCAAACAATTCATCCGATGCGCTTACCTCCGACTGCGTGGGGTCGCTAGTTTCGGGCTGCACAGACTGACCTGAGAACCAGTCTACACCTGCATCGGCAGTTGCACTCTCCCTTACATCCGATTGCACCCAGCCGACTGACTCTACTGTACCACTATTTGGCACCGCATGGCTTTCTTCCCTTGTGTCATCCCAGACTTGGCTATTTGCTTTCCCATCTTCTTCAGCTGTTTCTACGACTTTAGCCCTACTTGCACCCCTTGCTTGTTCTTCAGTGACGAGCGGCCCGTTCAAAGAAGGCTCTATCGTTTCCTCGCCTGGCATCGACAGATTTTCGTCTCGGTTTCCATCTGCATGACTCTCGGGGTCCACAGGAGGTGGTGAGCTCGGCCCAAATGGTGGTTGCTCTTTCAGGAATTCCGGGTCATAAACATTGTTATTCTCCCCGGATTGTTCAGTCGCATCATGTGCACTGGCGCTAATTTGTGCGTCCGGCTGAACAATATTTTCCGAATTCTCCACCTCGGTAGTCTTCTTGTCTGTTTCAGCAGTGGTGAAACTTTCGGTACCCGCGGCTGCCTCACCGTGAGTCGGAATATTCCAAGCAGATAAGTCCTCAGGATTCGTATCTTGGGCAGGAACACCCCAACCGTCAGCATCTTCAACCGTCCCTACTGGCGCCGGGACGTTCCAGCCATCATCGCTCCCGTCTGGCTCAATCCGAGGAGGAACCCACCACCTAAGCACGTTGTCGTCCGCGTCGTTCGCATCGAGAACACCCCCATTGTCACGTGAATTCTCCTCAGCCGGAGCATTCCACCCATCTCCCACACCGCTATTCCAGTCATTTGGTACGCTGTGAGCTGTATGCGTATTGTCGGCGTTCACCGGTGAGACTTCGGCAGTTGCTTCGGGAACAGTGTCTATTGCGTTTGGTTCCACGCCTAGGCCTGGACACTCATGAGCATGATCCTGCTGTTCTCCAGCAGGACCTACGCCTTGTGCATCCATTTGGGATTCTGGTACTCGTTCATTTGAGTCCTGCAAATCACGGAACCCAAGCTGAGTGTCGTTTCCCTCGACGTTACGTGCTGGGTGCTGGTGATTCGGCTCAGGTTCCGGCGCTTGTTCCCCCCAACCTTCAAATTCATTCTCAGGGTGCGTAGTTTGTTCCTCTGTCGACATTCCCCAACCATCCCCCCATTCCGTGAGGTCATCCTGCTTCTGCTCCGCGGCGAACTGATCCTGAGGTACAGGTGGAATAGGGTCTGGAGTTTCTTCAGGAAGAGAATCCTCCGTGACATCTTCGTGACTCACATCGGGTGGTGGGGGCCGAAATATGTTCATCGTGGGCCTGGGAGGTACAGCAGCAACAACATGCGGTTGTGTGAGACCCGCTTCAACGTATCGCTTCGTACGTGTCCGCGGCGCTCTCACAGGCATCGCCGCTGGAAGTTCCGCAGAGATGTCCGTTGGTGGTAGCGGCGGGGCAGTATCAGGCGGAGGTGGCGGGGGTTCGAAAGTGGCTTCGCTTGTCGGCGGTGGCGGCGGAGCGATGCCATCCGGTGGAGGGGCGGCAAAGACATTGTTCCCATCCCGGTCATTAGCTAGCTTCTGATCCCATTCGTCTCTTTCTTGGTGGTGATGGGCGTCCGGGCTGTTGTTGGCCGGGAACGCGGGTTCATCGTCCTCTGCGGCGGCCGCAATAAGCACGCCCTGGGCTACCTGGGCAGCAGCCCTGGCGTTTTCACGGACGACTTTTGCGTTGTCGCGGACGCGATCACGGATAGCTCCGAAACTGTTCCACATCCCGAGCAGTGGGATGGGCTAGAAGGGCAACGCTTCCAGAAGTGTTTTTCGTGTCGATGGCGAAGTGAAAACAGGGTACGAGGGAGTCTGGCAAGGGCGCCCAATTAGAGTGTGGGTGTTACCGGCCCATCCACTTCACTCAGATAATCTAAGAGAGACTCACCCGCTTTCGAAAAGGCTTTTCCCTTCCTGCTACAGTACCCAAGGGTAACGGTACCAACGTCCCTCCGCTCACGCCACCCTCTTAAAATTTTACGAAAAAACAATACCCAGTCCCTGGTCGCTGTCAGGAGAGACCCCTTCAACATCAGTGTGTTCAACAACTTCTAAAACCTGCTGTTCATCCTGCTCTAATGCATGTCCCTCGGCCTTCCACATGTGACTCTTATCGCTTTGAAATGGCATCGCGCAGTAGTCCACCTGCGAGCACTCAGCTCCGGAAAGAGCACCTGTGATAGATGCCTTAAACACAGTAAAACCAAAGATGGATTCATACCAGATGCATCCGCGAGCAACTTCTATACAGTTTAATGCCCGCGAACTAGGCTCGTGCAAAACTAAGTGCGTAAAATTTACCCTTTCAGATGACCAGAGAAGTAGAACATTTTTTTGAGCCCCCAGCCTGCAAAGTACTTTCACCACAGTAACCCCGGCGTGAACTGAATAGACACAGGGCAATGGTCACTTCCCTCGACATGGTCCAGAATGTGAACATCCTTCACAGCGCGAACCATGTCGTCGGTCACAAGAGCGTAATCAATCCTCCACCCCATATTACGGTCCCTGGCTCTCGACTTGTAGTCCCAAAATGTGTACTTCTCCTTCTCATCTGGATAAAGCATCCGATACGCATCAACTAGTCCGCAAACTTCCAGCGTGTCCTCAAAAGATTGCCGCTCCTCATCCGAGAAACCGGGAAGCCGCTTCGCAGTCTTGGGGGAATGCACATCCACTGGGTCTCTCGCTACGTTCAAGTCCCCAAGCACAATCACGGGCTTTCCTTCTCGTCGCAAATTTCGCACATACCGACGGAACGCCGAGTCCCACGTCATGCGCTGATCAAGTCGCTTGAAATTTTGACCCGCATTCATCGTATAGACATTTACTACAATCGCACCAGGGTATTCTAGACAAACCACGCGGCCTTCAAGGTCACCATCTTCGTGTCGAATGTTAAATTGTACGCACTGGGGTTCTCGTTTTGCAAAAACAGCAGTTCCCGAGTACCCAAGGCGCGCCCGACTGGAATGAAATACAGACGATTCGTAACCTTGAAGAGCGTCTGCGAACAGCCCCTCGTGGATCTCCTGCAATTTCGTCTCCTTTAAGTAACATCAGGACAAGATAAGCGTATCGTTGGCGAAAAAGATCAACTCGTTAGAAATTCTGACGAGTTCCTGCTGCACACTGTTCCCTATGAATTATTAGCAAACGTACCTGCAGGCACAAAATGTCTGGGTTATGTTCTTCAACGAGATCCTGCAAAGCATTTGGATTCTTCCTCATCAAAGCCCGCAGAGAGTTGACATTCCAGGTGATTGCAGAGCTGTGAGTCCCCGCCAGCGACGTGCAGCATCGCGGCGAAGTGACAAAATTTGAGACCCGCGACCTACCCCCGCGAGCCAGCGCCCCCGGAGGCACTAGACCGAATGCAGCCAAGCTCCGGCTCATGTCCAGAACGCCGTTGTCGAACTTGTACTTTCGTGTTCTTGGATCAAACTCATAGAAATACTGTATCAAAAGCAAATTCGCAAATCCAACTCGATTGCGTTTGCGATTTGGTCTAAAATCCTATAATTCAAAAAGATGATCTCGTGACCTGCATTGCATGTTGGACATGGCAATTGGCCCAGTATCCCCATGTATCTTCAGGAAAACATAGCCCGAACAAAGAGTCTGTTTGTTACACTAGGTTGGCCGGGATAAGAAGGTTTTCTCGCGCTCGTCCCCCGTTCCTTTCTTGTTAGCGGACAAAAAATGCATCATACCAACGCTATTTCTGCTGTTCAGACTTACCTTCAGTTCAAGCACATTCAAACACCGCAACCCAAGTCCGCCAAGTATGAATGCATGTCTTTGACGACGTGCCGGGCTCTGCCGCAAATACATTTAACTACAGTCCCTCACTCTTGACAAAAGTATCTGATGGGGAAATAGACGCCAGAGGGGAGCCATCCTCTGGATAAATATATACTTCAAACGAAAGCGAAAAGTTCGCCTTAAACGCAAGACACAGAAGTCGGTGACTATCACCTTCTTGTACATCACCTTTATAGCGCTCTTCCCTCTCTCTTATTTTCGTAATTCAGATCGAACCGACTACTCTACCTCATATTCCTGCCGTATCTGCCATCACTCCAAATTCTCTTGACTGTTTCACTGGTTCCCTGTTTCCGAGTAAGGCCTGCTCCAGATCAGCCTTCGCGCGAAACCCTGCGAGTGACTTCCAATTTGCACCGTCGTTCCTACAGTCAACAGTGCCATTGGTGTCCGAGTGGCTCGGTACACCCAGGTCAGTGAGATTTCGCCTCAGAACGTGAAGGGCCGTTCTCAAAGCGTTTTCCGCTCGCCTGGCCCCGCACGAAGAGTCAGCAAAACTGAAATCTAAAGAAGTGGGTTCCAACCCTGTTCGCAGTGTACGCGTACTGACAACAGAGTTTGCAACCTACCTTTGATCACAGCACTTTCCGTGGAACTCGTTGTAGATTCGCACTCACACTAGTCTTCCGACACGCTCCACACCACGGCTCCTGCTCAAAAACATATCATGAAGTGGGTGTGTGGGCGATGCCGATTATCGTCACTGCACGGAATGGTTCACGTACAGCGCTTTCTCATACTCGCAAACGAATTGAAAGAGGCTTGAACATGAGCAATATGTGTAGTTGATGTCGCTGGATTGACGAAAATGTCTTCACGCATGATTTTCAGAAACCATTTATTCGCCCTCCATACGACAGTCAACACACGGGGCTACAGAAAAGTGACTCCCGAAAATGGAGCACTCCCAACTTGCGAGGTACAGAGAGACAACGACTTTGAAGAGAATGATGTAGTCGATGAAAATCAAATTGTCAACCCTCTATTGAGATCAGAGTACCTCTCGCGTCTTTATAGTATCATCAATCTCCTTCTACCTCATCTAGAAAACCTGTTCTGTTTGCCTCAAGCCAGACCCTCAGAGTGCGAGTGACTAGCGAGATAACCATAGGTTACTGAGCGCTATGAGAACGTGTTCACCATTGTAGATCCACGGAACACGGAGGATCACGCAATGATGTGCCCCTCGTACTGGTTGAAGGTGTTTCTCATAACGTTGATAGGGAAAGGAGAAGCGGGAAGTGTAGCGAAGATTGGCGGGTGAGCGCCGACTTGAGACGAGTAGCCAGCTCTTGTTTATCGGACGTTTAGTCTTCACATGAAGACAAAAGTTATTTTATTTTTTCTAGACAACTCAAGGCACGATTTCACTTCTGTTTTTTGAAACCGGAAGGCCATCACTACGGGTAAAGCACTTGCTTATCGATTCTCGCCAAAACCAACTCGATGCATAATAAAAGTGTTCAATAGAAGAAGTCGGCTTAAAGTAAACATTTTTATTAAGCTAATTTTATACCATTGGCATAGAAACATTGCGCTGAGGGCTTTCTATTCGGTTCTAACTTCAGAAAAATTTAGAACGAGTCATTTTTACCAAAGAAAAATAGAAACCGTCGCCACCAAGGTTGAAAAGAAATAAAATTTGCAGATTTTCATGTTATGATAACGGTTGGTCGGATAGACATTCTAGCTAGAGCTAGAGAGAGAGCACCTGAAGGTAGCAATGTGAAAGAGAGCATTTGACGGCAGGAATGGATGTCCAGGAAAGAAAATCTGAAATATCAGATCCATTCCTCACCTTTTTGCCACCACAAACTTGGAGCCTGCGCCTGGAATCTGACCATCCATTCAACTTCCGCAGCATTTTCAGTCGTGTCTACGGTACCACAATGCACGAATGCCACTGCGCCAGCTCATCTCTCGTACAACAAGACACGTACCGTAAGCCACGAACAAACCACAGACTTACCGCGGACCATGGCTCCGCGGTGCAACGGTTCATACACCCCTGATGTCAGCAGTTCTCATTGAGGGGCCGAGTTCGGCCTTGTTTCCTTTCAGGTGAGCAGCGTGTTTCTTGCGCGACTACACTCATACCTTGCATCAGCCGCGCCAACTTCGAACTGGAGCCATCGCGACCAGTTCTCAACAATGGCCCAAGGCAAACGAGCGCCCCCTCCTAGGCGCGACGTCCGCGTCTACCACGAGCGTCAGCAGCTTTGGCGCTGCGGCCTGCACGCCACGAATGCCCTTTTGAAGCGGCGTGCCTACTCAGCCGCCGACTTTTCGAAAATCGCCGACGATTTGATGGCAGGGCAGCGCTCGTCGTGGTTCCATCCACACCGTTCAATGCTCGGCCTAGGCGACTACGACGTTAACGTGCTGATGGTTGCGTTGGACAAGTACGCCATACAGACCAACTGGGTCTCCGAGACGGCCTCGCTGGAGGAGATTATACGGGCCAATCCGAAAATGAAGGGCTTTTTAGTGAACGTGCCTTCCCAGTTTGGCCTCCCATCGTTCATGGCACCCGCGAACAGCTTGTTCGGGGATAGAAAGCATTGGATTGCTGTCCCCCGGTACTACAGTCATTTCCACTTGGTTGATTCCAAGACGACGCCGTCTCGGTTCGAGAAGGAGGTGGATCTCATCCGATATTTAGAAAAAGTCCGCAAAGCATCGGGGCACGTTTTGTACCTTGTGGATAAATCTGAATCGGACCAACCAGTTGATTGAGTGGAGCGCCACTCGTCACGAGACGAACAAATCCCCATCTGCTGGGGAGCCGTCAATCACTTCGTCATTGAAAGTCGAGAAATAGCCGAATTCGTCAGGGCGCGGGAGCGGAATTGGACGGGATGCGTCTACATGATAACAATTATATGTATTGGGCATCAACTAGAAATACGGACTACTTGTCTCAAGAGATTCAGGCCACAAGAGGATGCGCATCGGAAAGCGGATTTTGTTGTTCGTACAGACCCGAAATCCGTGGTGGTCTAGACATCGGCTCAAGGGCTCTCTCTATCTGTTCCGCAGTTAGTGTGTACATCGGACAAAACTTGACACACCGCAAGCCCATAAACAACTTTTCTATCAGGGCGCTTTAGCGTCCTCAGCCAAATCGGAGGTCGAGTCCATATCCAAGATTGTCGTGGGATTCTGAGCGGCGTTTGCTCGTCGAACGTTGGCGCTTGCTTCACCACGGGCGAGACGAGCAGTATCCGGCTCCGTCTGGGACCTTCTTATCGCCGACCTCTGTTCCGGCTCCTTGTCATTGTGTATGCGTCCTTGAAGATCAAACCATCGGCGAAGGGAGTATGTGCTTCGTCTGCGCAAATCCCCAAAGAATGCTGGGATTGATGGCGGCGCTTCCAGTGTGGGCAGATTCTGGAACGTGATGGACCCTTGGCGAGCGTGCTGCTCGGCTTGAACATGGGCGGGAATAGGTGCTGGTCGTCGATGATATCCCTCATGCATAGATACTGTCCTCTGAATCCCAATATCTGAGGTGGTTCGTTGAAAGTCATCCCTGAAGGTGTAGTCTTCGGTTCTCACGACATCACCGACTGCCGAGGGTGGAGCTTGCTCGCCTGGATCGTAGTCGACATAAACGGCGTCAGGGTTGGTCCCCCAAATATGCGCTTCCCCGGATCCGAGTGAGTCACTAAATGTCTGGTCGTCGAAGTCCAACCCATTGCCGAGACTCATTGTAGAGACATATGTCCCGAGGCCGCCGCTGGGCATGATTTCGTAACTAATTCGGTTAATCATCCTGATGACGGGTTCGAAGAGCATGCCCTGAACGACGATTGAGAAGACGACGAGGATGAATGTCATGAAGAAAATAAGCTGTCCGTAGGTCATATGACCGGGGACGGCATGCTTCACAAAAGAATCGGGAACACCGAGGGCGAGGGCGATTGATATTCCGCCGCGCATCCCAGCCCACGTGAGTAAGCCAATCGTCCCCCCCCTGTACCGAACGGACTCATGTCGCAAGCGCTTGCCCGTGACCCATTCCAAGAAAATGATGGACAGCAAGGGAAGCGCGACGGACAGAAAGCGTACGACAATGGAAATGGAGATGGTACATACAACGAGGAGTAGCACAGGGCCCCAGCCGAGATCTTGGGGGTTCCAGAAGAGGTCTGCGGCGCCGACCATCAAGAAAAGGATGGAGTTTAGAGTTTCATCGGCGAGCTTCCACATTTCGTGAAAAGTTTCGACGGTTTCGTCATGCATTGCAAACGACACAGCGTAATTCCCGATAAACAAACCGGCACATACGGAGGCGAGAGGGATGGAAGCGTGGACGATGCGGCAAACCATGTTGATATTTCCGACGAGAACAAAGGTGATAACTACTTCTAAGAGAGGGTCCTTGACGGAGCCGATGGCGGAATAGGCAAGCCATGCCAAGAATACACCAATGATGGCGCCGTACAAGCATTCGACAACGACGTTTTCGAAAATCAAGGTGGCGACCTCGACAGCGCCAATGTCCGGCTTTTCAATGATTTCGGACAGGGTGAGATACAGGACGACGCCGATGGCATCGTTAAGCAGACTCTCACCAATAACAAAATATTTTGTCGAAGAGGGTAAAAGGTCAGGCTTGTCGTTCAAAATTGAAATAACAGTGACTGGGTCTGTTGGAGACACGATGGCTCCAAAGAGCAAGCACCAGGCGAAATCCATATGAGCAATGTTCTGCATGAGCAAATAGGTGAGAATGCCCACCATCAAGGTCGACAGCAAGGTGGACACAACACTCAAGGCCAGGACAGTGGTGAAAATCCTGCCGAGATTGCGCAAGTCGACCTCGATAGCGGCGGCAAACAGCAGGAATCCCAGCATATAATTGAGCAGCAAATCTGGAAAGTCCTTGAGCAATATACGAAAAGCCTCAATGGCGTCATCCACGTGCAGCATTGGAATATGACTGAGAATAAGGAGGAAGAGGGTCATGAGGATAGCGCCGAAAGCCATGGCGACACTGGAAGGGATTTTGAAAAAGTGAAAGTTGATGACGCGAATTGCGACGGAGATCGTGAGCAGCAACATGGCAATATCGGTTCCTCCAAACGGGCCGATAACCCCCTGCGAGGCTCCATGACCTCCCCCCTCGGCGACAGCAATCGCAGACTCGGCGACATCAGGCTCCCCCCCCGAGCGCACAGTCGCGGACAGGACGGAGGCGACGGAGGAAACGGCGACGGTAGCGACGGTAGTCGCCCCGCGCACGCTCTCGAGCAGCTCTGGGAGGACGACGGGCATGGTGAGGGAGGCGGGTTGTTGCTGTTAGATGTTATGTGAAGGGGGATGGAATGGTTTGAGGGGCGGACTAGCTGGAGAGGCACGTAGTAGGCGCGTGCAAAGGGGGGTACGGGGGGGAGGGAGTTATTCGTCGAGGCAGGGGGGGGATGGACGCGGCCCCATGACGGGGTGAGGGAAGGTGATGAGGGAAGGCGAAGTGGTGGCAAGGGCGTGACGACGGAAGTCCACTGCGTGCGCGGCGGCATCGGGGAATTGGGTCGGGCACGCAAATATTTTAGTGTAGCGCTACTGTAGGGTGTGCATATGGGCACTCCTCGTGGCGCAACCTCGAACCCCAGAAATAGGGCCGCGCGACAATTCACCCTTCCACAAACATCATCGCGTCTTGCGCCCCCCACCGCGACAACCTCAGCCCCCTCGCCACCTGCCCCACCCCCTCCGCGGACACCTGTCCCCCTCCCCGGCCCCCGCCCCGCTCCGGCCTAGAACTCGCCGATGCGGTAGCTCTTCTTGTCGAAGATTCTCTTGAAGTCGTCCTTGTGCAGCATGGTGCGGAGGCGCCACATGAGCATGTAGTCGTCCGCGTCGATGTCGATCTTGGGCCGCACCTTGGCGTTGTCGAGGTACCCGCCGACGAGGTCGAGCGGCACCTCACCGGCGCCCTCCTCGTTGACGTCGTCGCCCGTG